GAGTGTGTCAGGCTCTTCAGTAACACTTTGGAACTTTTTATTTATGACAGTTTCTAGTAGTGGTTCTGTTTCTTTGGGACAATCTTCTTCCCCTTCAGGAATCCCTTTTATCCATAAGTTAGCTCTCTAAGTGCCATTTCTGCTTTCTCTCTCTTATTTTCTGCCTCCTTAGCTGCCTGAGTTAGTTTGAAACTTTATCCTCTAGCTCAGAGGTCTTTTCTTCTCCATGGTATAACCTATTGTTAATACTTTCTATTGCATCTTTACATTCCATGATTGTCTTCTTAGTTTTCTTAAGCTCTGCCAATATCCTTCCTATATTCTACATATGTCTCCTCTGACTTTTGGTTCTGCCTTTTCATTTTGTCATCCATTCCTTTCATTGTCGTTATCATTCATATTTTAAATTCCCTTTCTGTCTAGTCCATTACTTCTTTATAGGTGGAGCCTTCTGCAGTAGTTGTCTCATGGTCCCTTGGGGGAGTTCTTCCATTTTGGTTTCTCATGTTGCCCAAATGTTTCTGTTGGCTTTTCCTCATGTGTTCTTTCTTCTTGTTCACCTCCTTGTTTTCCGTTTTCCTTATAACTGCCTCCTTTGTTTCAAACCAAAGTTCTTGCTGTTGATGACAGTATTTTGGAAAACGTTGCCTGGACACCAGGTGGCCGTGTGTTTTTCTTAGGAGACAGAGAGCACAGCCAGCAATCTCTATGGTCCTTGTTCCAAATATAGTTGCCTTTAGTGATTGCCTGATTGTTTCCTCAGCATTCAAACCCTGGCAGGCTTGGATCTTAAAGCTCACAAGGGTCCTTCAGGGGCAGGTCCCACAGTGCCCCCTGACTCCAGCTCCCATGGATTGTGGAAGTCCCTCACAGGGCTTGACTCAAGAGCAGAGTTCCGATCCTTGTAGGTGGAATTAAGATGGCCATGCTTTAACCCCCTCCTAAGAACTTTCATGACTTTCCCACAATTCTCAATATGACTGCCTCACCAGTTACCAAACCTATGGCAAATCCACTCCAACCAGCATTCAAATCTCATTTCGGTATACTGTTCACATATTCCCACTCTTCCAAGCTTTCCACTCAATGTGCAGCTTCCCCCAAATACTGAAAATTCTGGAAAGGCTTCCTCCTCTCCTGGACGTCTGTGGGGAGGAGGCAGCCAGTCTCAGCCATTCACAATCATTTGCCTAATTCATCAGATTTCCATCGCTTCGCATTATATACTGTATTCATCTCCCCACCTCCTTGCTGTGCTCCCTGGATAAGGTCCCCGCACCAGGTAATGCTTTGTTCTTTCTTTTTCCCCAGTCATTCTAGGAATGCTAAGCTGAATGATCCTACTGGTCCACCATCTTGATTCATCCTCAATTTTATTAATCTTTTCAAAGAATCAACATTTGTTTTGTTGATTTTCTGAATTAGTCTATTGTTTTAAAGTTCATTTAGTTCTTCTGTAATTTCAGACTCTTAAAAATGAAGAAAGGTAATGAAAGTGACCATGAGTATTTGTTTTCTTCTGGTTTATTGGTGTAAATGGGAAAGTTTAAAATAATTTCAAGTTCCTCTGTGACTAATTGTCAGGCTAAGGTTTCAAAGTGTCTCTCAACCTTGATTTGCAACAGAGGTTTATTATTGTTGCCTTGCTACCTTTGGGGAAAGAAGGGGAGGTTGGAATACATAGCATTTGAGACCTACTCTTGACCGAAAGCCTGTTTGCCTTTGTTACTGGGAATTTTTAAAAGCTCATAAAAATAATAAAAAGTTAAGCTTCTAAGCACCCACAACTGTTTTCTCTATGGGTGGGCCTCATCCCAAAATTGATTGATACTCTGGGGCAGGTGCAGAAAGGCGCAGAAATTACGTCGGGTAGGATCAGTCTCCCAGATATCTGATTTCTCAGGCTTTGCTGGTGACAGGTAATAAGCACAGGAGAGCCAGCAGATACAAAGCACTACACTGGTAAGAGTGGCCAAATCCAGACAAGGTCAAGAGTTGAGGAGGCCACTCTTCTCAGGGATTCTTCCCCAAGCAGTGGAAGGACGCTTCATTTTCTTTGGCTGGAAAGTTTCTTGGGTTCGTCAGAGGGTGCTTTGACAAACCAGGAATACAGGGTGGGATTGATTAAGATGCTGGATGTTTATTCTTCCCCACATATGGGTAACATATTCTCCCTCAAAGAGAACAACACTCCTCTGGGCTGTATTCTGAAGCACTGGGACATGTTTGATCCCCAGATGCTGACAAAAGAACATGTAATTTTCTTCTGCACCTCAGGCCTGGCCTGAGTATCCACTCTCCAAAGGTGAACAACAGCCACCAGAGGGTACTCTAAATTATGCCACCATTTTTCAATTAGATTTTTTTTTTTTTTTTAACAAGAAGGAAAGTGGTCTGAACTGCCCCATGTGCAAGCTTTCTTTTTCCTCAAGGACAACCACCAACTGTGTAAAACCTATCAGATAGATTCAGCTTTCCTGGCTGTAATAACGTCCCCAAATGGCCTGGATCCAAGGAAAAGCCTATGAACTATTCGAAGTTGTCTACTATTTACCAGGAGCAAAATAAGAGTCCCTCAGCCTTTCTTGAATGGCTTTGGGAGGTGACAAGAAAACACACCCAGTTAACACCCGACTCCTTTGAAGGCCAAATTATTTCAAAATATTATTTTATCACTCAGTCGGCCCCACACATTCAAAGAAAACTCCAGACATTGGCTCTAGGTCTGGATCATGACCTGGAGAATCTTCTAAAATCAGCCACAGTGCTCTTTTATAACCAAGATCAGGAGAAAGAGGAGGAAAAAGAGAGAAGGGATAGAAAAAGAATGGCAGCTCTAGTAATGGCATTCCAACAAATGAGCACCTTTCAGGGGCAGAGGGAAGCCAG